GTGGAGAACATGCAAAAAATATACCATCTATTCTACTGATCAGATCTGCTACTAATTCAAAGTCACTGGTCAATTTATAATTAGTAATACAGAAATAATTAGTAATACAGAAATAGCAAAGCCATACAGAAATAGTGCTAGAATATTTAACTTCTTATACAACTTTTTGTAAAATACTCAAACACAAATGGATGAGTTGAGGTCTTGTGATCACTATCTATTCCTAAGCTTAATTTGCCCTTCCCTAAGTGGCTGAAAAAAAAAACCTCTTGATTCTTTTTGGTGTTATTCCTAAAATGATTTGTGAAATGTCATTTATTTAAAAGACAGGAAACAACAACTTGACCAAGATCATTGTCATTCTTAAAGCCAACCATATATTTGTTTAGGAGGTGATGGGGATGGAGACAACAGAGAGAGGGGAAAGGATAAAAGAGTTTTTTTTTTTTTAAAAGAAAATCAGAGGAAAGAAAAAAACTCTAAAAATTCTAAAAGGAATAAAATAAGTTAGTGACATTGCAGCATCAGTAAAATGAGAACAGAAATTTAACAACAAGCAAGGGCTTCTGGTGACAGATGTTAAGTTTACCCCATGCAAAATGGAGAACCAAATTACTTTCCAATATTGTTTCTGCTCAAATGAAAATGTTTCTGACAGCTGCAAGATTTCTGTCTGATGAACAAGACAGGAGAGATGCCTTTCATAACAGCTGCTAAGGACTAAACTTCTATTTTTAGGAAAACCAGAGTTGCACTCAAATGAGTTAAACCAGCGAATACATTTAATGTCTGAAAAACATTTCTATTTAAGATCATTTGGCTTTAGTGTAGAAGACATTCATGGTGAAACACTAGAAGAAAACTTCTCACCAAGGTAGGATCAAACTATCACAGTAGGCCTGGAGAGGAAAGATTAATGTTGGATTTCTGAAGCAAGAAATATTAAAAATTACAAACCACCAAGAGAAACACTTTGTGGGAACCTTGAAAGAGCAGAAAAAAATAGGAGACAAAATAAGGAATGCTTTTGGATGACTTGAAGGAATAAAGTAATGCCTTTTGAAATGAACAACTGCCTTTGAATGGGTGTCTAAAATGGGAATTGAAACAAAGTCATCCAGATACTGGAATGCAGAGAATTAAAGACTAGAGTTCAATGTGGACAAAAAGGGTGATGTCCTGCATCAAAGGTAATTCCATCATCTGTTGTTAACAGAAGAATTTAGTCTGTTTTATAGAAAAGAGAAAAAATAAGTGTAGACTAAGAAAAGACATGAATTCATTTTACGATAAAGGACATAGTAATTCTTTCTGAATTGCATTCCAAAACCATGAATGGCATTAACTTCTAAGCCTGTCAGAAGAAAGCTCAAATGGAGCACGATTTGATTTGGAGAAATCCAGATGCTTTCAAGAATCAGGGCACTGATTATATATCACTTGGCTAAATGCGCCATATTACGGATGTTGAAGTTACAAGTTCAATACACTTATGGGCAAGTTAAGGAGCTGTGCACAATAAAACAATATTCTAATATATGTAGACAATCACATCAAAGTAAACTATACTGGCACTTAATTGTGAGGCCAACTAGGCAAGAGGCATGAAAAGACTGTACAAGGATGGTTAGGTAGTATATACAGTGGAAATATAATTTCATTATGTCAACCATTCAATCTTGATTACTCCTTATTTATGCTTGACACTTGCTTCAGGGGAAATAAAAAATTCTATATTGTAGAAGCACTTGGTATTTGTCTTTTCAAGTAGCAATAAGACTATTGCCATGTTTTGCAGAATAAGTGACAAGGGCGGCTTCATAGGGAAAAGTATTTCCCACAGAAGGCCTGTGAAAGCAGGCAGGGGTCTTTGATTGAATGCCACCTAACTCCTTTCCCTGACCTCAGGAAAAACCCCAAAGTCACTTTGATTCATACTAAACTAAGGTTATTTCCCAGTGATAAAAGACCCTCTGGTGAGCAAGCCAAGTTTGTTTTTGTACAGTTCTCCTAACCACAAAGTGGCCTTCATTTGACTGTTTAAATTCTAATCACAAATGTAATTACACACATCTGCTCTCTGGGCCCCAGTGATTGAACTAAATGACTTCTAGGGTGGCTTCTAATGCTGTGAGCAGCCACTACCACGTTATCTTATTTCACAATTCGCGTCATAAATTTCTACAAAACATCAAAACTCACAGTTGGGCTAAATCTAGACCAAAAAAAAAAAAAAAATTCCATGCATCAAGAAGTTGTGAAATAGAAGGTAGCTATATATTATGAAACATCTCATACAGCTACTGATTTACTTGGCATAATTAAAGGAAAGATTGGCTGTGCTCACTATTGGTTGAAATTGTCATGCAATAATGTCAAAGCTTTTGATCCAGATAAAGTGGTGTCAATATAATTTGTTATAAAGACTAAACTTAAATAGTTGAGGCTATTTTGCTACATGCTATTGTGAAATAAATGAAAATCCATAGGCGTCCACTTGTGGAATGATATTAGAAAGTAGGTTGCTTCATGATTGGCTGGTATCTCATTTACATAAGGGTAGGCATTCAGTTATGTATGCATGGGGATAATGTCTTAAGGAAACTGCTCATGGAACTCATCTAGTTGAAATTTTATATTTAACAAATGAAATTATTTCATCCACATGCAGTCTGCATAATAAAGATGTTGGAAGTTTATTTAAAATGCAAATATTTACCTACAGCTATACATTTTCAGCTAGCCTCACTTTCCAATAACAGTATATTTTAATTAGGTCTATGACATGATGTAGTTGATACTTTGTGGATAAATTGGAAAAATGTAGGTGAAGCTGACAAGCACAAGAAAAAATTTTCATTAATGGCCATAAGAAATAGGACTTTGAAAGGCAGCATAGTATTTTGTAGATTCTGCAAATGGTGGGATTTATATTATTGTTGTTAAGTTAGTAACACTATAAACAGGTTGGGCTAACTTGGAGGTCATGCATAAATGAATTCAATTACATCATGAAAAAAAGAACAGAAAACCAATTTGAGTGCTATAAAGGGTAAGATAAAAGGCAATTCTTTTGGTAAAAAAACAGAGGTATAGAAATAATGTTAATGACCAGTTTTCTGAGTGAAAACATCATTTCAAACAAATTTATTTCCTTGGTTCATGAAGAACATTCTTACAGCAGTGCAACCAGCATAAAATCACAATGCTGCAGAACATTGCATTAGAGTGAACTTAGAAAAAAATTTCCAAGGTAACAATGATTTGGTAAACTACTAAACTTATGAAATGGATTCAACAAACTAGGAACCCAGTGTGGTTTCCATGTTGAGGAAGGCCATTCACATTATTAATTACAACAAAGGAATGGAAGCATTTTAGTAAAGACCAGATATTTTCGTGTACTTATTTTGGTAAACTGAAATTAACTTCACAAATTCCAGTATTCCCCTAAATCAGCATTGGTGCTGCAAGTTTAAATAGTTAAGGAACTTAATGACAGTTAGCGACAGACTGAATTACTGCAAACACATCACAATAATTTGAAGGAAATCTGTTATATCTTTGAAAATATGTATAAGAGTATCTTAGGATTTTAATTATTCAACTTTGCTATGTCATGGGTAACAGTTCAACGGAAAACAAAAGCTCTACTTAAAATTTGCAGACATTCAATAACAGCAAAATGGAAATGGAAATGGATTGCTGGGTGGATGGATGAAAGGTCTTAAAACTTTACCCATTAAAACTGGTGAGGAAATAACTTCTAATGGGACCTAAGGTCAAAAATCTAAAACCAAATATCACAATGGTGTAGTCTTGATAGGCTAATACTAGTAAATGTTGAAGCAGCTGAAACAATAATCACTTATTTATATACTTATATGTAGAAACCTTAGGCTCACAAAAAATATACATGTTTTACAACGGAAATCTAAGGCACACAAAAATACTAAAACAATGAGTTAACCTATTTTACATATTCAAGAAACGGAAATATATTTGTATAAGGTGAAGGTTTATCAATGGACATTTTGTTATTTACAATCCCTTCATATCCCTTTACTTGCATTAGTCAAAAGCTTGAAACTGATACTTTGCACCATATATTATTTTAATATAAATTATGAGTTCTTTAGAGAGCTTACTGGAACTGTTTGCTTTTGCACCAAAATTATGAGTGTTAGCGGTTGTGGGCTTCCGATGGCATTTCCGAGGGAGAAGCACCATTAGGTTTTCCATGCTCCCAAGGAATCTGACACTTTAAATGTTATAGCACCTCTACATTGTTACAAAATCAAGTATTTGATTGGAAGTTTTTCTTGTTCTAAGCTTTTGTTTGGGCAGTCCCTTTTGTTTTGCTGTAAAGAGAGCCAAAAAGTAATAGGGAAAACAATAGGAGGGCGAAAATAAATAGAATGCTTACTTTCTTGGTATGGAGGGTATACTGAGATAAACAGCTTTGAATTAGCTCTCAGCGGGTGAACCACCCTTAGGATAATATCATTCCTACTATTTCTTTGGGGTGTAGGGCTGTGTGATGATAGGGGAATTATTTTCACAATTTTTGGACAAAAATTATATATTCTTATTTTGTATCAGAACGATCTTCAGAACAAATAAGGCAATTAGGAATGAGTTGGTTTCTTGCTTCTTAATTTTTGTAATTTACCACCTTGAAACATTAGAAGCATTTGACTCTTCTGAACCCTATATTTATCTCCTTTTGAAAACACCTGTCATAAATTATACTGAGAAAGCTAGAAAAGTAAATTGGGGCCAATGTTCAATAAATCAGAAGAGACCACTCTGACTTGGGTCCAAAGAAAACGTTAACCAATACTGGTGCCAAGCTTCTAATTTGAATTTTAGAGATAATTAATAATTTTTGCATGATGTATTTTATATAAGTAGCTAATATTTGAACAAAAAAGGACACATAAAAAAAAAAAACACAAACCATATACATGATTAGAATACATACTGCCGATAAGATGGAACTCTACACAGCAAGAATAAATGATTTCTCTTGATGCAAATATGCACAAACAATAGACAATAGGATTCATATACTATACTATTTCAAGTTATTTTAAAAATAGAAAGTGCTTTTAAAATATATATTTACAAGTTATGAACAGCCTCCAACCATTACTAACAATAATGAATTATTTTACCTAGGAGTGATATTTTCAGAGAAAACATTTCATTGGTTTATTTCAAAGGAATATGTTGATTTTCTAGCAATGATTGGAAGATGTTGGAACAATGGCACCATGAAATAATAATTCAGCTTATTTTTAACTGTGTTGATGTGGTTAAGCACCAGGAGCTGTGTAGAGTTAACACTGTGTATCTTGATTTTACATCATAGAACATGAACCTGTTAAAATCCTCTAAAAATGACTCTTGTTTCATAGTAAACAGACTTAATTTAAAGCACCAAACTGAGTGATTCTATCAAGGTTAACACCTAACCAAAACATTTCTTTATGTATTGAAAACTAGAAAAAGCTTTATTTTTGCTTAAAATGTGCACCTTCTACCAATTGTCAAAATATTGTCACAGTTAAGAAATACCCACCCCATTTTTGTGTTTTTACCTCAGCCTTCAAATGGGTGAGATGAAGATAAGAGTAAACGACAACATGACTTTCTGTTAACAGCACCTTGAAAAAATACACTGCACTAGCAAAGGCATTAAGAAGGGGAGAGAAGCCTTTAGACCCAATGGTTATAGGGCCCTGCAACATGTGTGAGAGCATACGGGGACACGGTAACAACATTGTCGTGGGTTAATGTTAATGCTTTATGAGAAGGAATTTGGTTCAATTCGTTAATTTCAGGGGGTAGCTCAGGACCCTCGCCAGCTGCCTGGTCTTTCTGCTCTGAGGCCTTAGTTTTCTTATTCTTAGCTTCCTTAGCCTCAAACTTAATCTTGTTTAGTTCAAAACCATGTTGGGGCTTGTTCAGGTTTTTGTGCTGGTAGAAGACAAGGGAGAGGCGTGTGGGATGATTCCGATTTGGGTGCTCCACCGGGGTGGTAGCGTGAAGCTCTCGCCGGGCACACTCGATCAATATGGAGCCGTGGGCAGGTGCTATTGCCACCCCGCCGACATTGGCATCCAAGAAGATGTGCTCACTGTCTGACCAATACTCATCAATGTGGGGTAATTTGTCCTCAGCAGGTGAGAGGGGGTCGTCTGATAGGGGGTCATCTGATAGAGGATCCTCGGCTTCAGAATGCTGCTCATCTTCTTCCACCAGCGAGGAGGCGGCTTCAGGAGGAGAGCTGATGAGTGGGGACGGTGGAATAGGCTGATTAGAAGTTAGCTGCTCAGACGGACCTGTGAGGGGCTCAGAATAAACCAGAGAATCTGTTATGGGAGTAGACAAGGTGGAGAGCGGAGCCGCTTCGCCAGGCTGCGCGACTCGAGTGCACTCCCCCGCAGCTGCATTAGCACCACTGTGTCTCGCAGAAGGCATTGTGCAGTGGGGATTGCTACTTCTTTCTGAAAACCCATGGGAAACTGCTGCATCGTTCTTAAAAGGAGTTGTTGCGGCTGAAGCATTCTTAGGGGACCAGGAGAAGTCTGGAGTTAAGTTTGTCTCTTTCACGGGGTGAGGAATGGATGGGGCCAGTGGGCAGGTTTTATTGATGTCCGAGCCTTTGAAGATAAAATGGGGTTCAATTTCACTTTTTATTTCAGGTTGCAAGGTCTCAGTTTTATTCCCTAAACAGAGAAAAGGACACCACATGTGAAGTTAAGTCCAAAGTAGTTTTGGTAGTTGACTTTAAATGGCATTTTTAAAGCAGCACAATGAATGATAAAACACTGATGGTGGCAATGTTGGTCAGTTCTGTCTTAAGCCAAACACACAAACATGCATTAAAAATTAGTAGTTTGGTATGCTTTTCAATCAGTTTTCCTTAAAAGTGAAAACTATACACTGGAATACAAAGCAGGTGACAACACAATGACAGAAAGCAACATTTACCTAGCCCCCAAAATATTTAGATACCTTTTAGGCACGGTATAATCTCATTTTTTAAACAAGTAAATGTAAGTAGTAGTTTATAACAGAAAAGGTAAAGCTAATTAGCTATTATCATATTGGCCAGTGTAGTTATCTGCTCTGATATACCCACGCAAACCTTATATCAAAGGTAAACATTTTTCATGAGGATATTCTCTTACTTTTAAATTTTCTGGAACTGCAAATCAAGCAAATTGAAGAACCAGAAAGAGAAAAGGTGAAAGGGGATTGTCAATAATATAATAGCACCCACTGATCTAATTCAGAATAGATACAATTTTTCCAGCAGACAATATAAAATGGGGAACATGATAGCTTTTGTTTTTTTCCCCCCTCATTTAAGATTGATTTATTTATGCATGGAAGAACTGGGGTACAGGCCAGAGGTGGTGGTTGGAGGAGGGGGTGAGAGGATTCACTACAGACAGAATTATCTACTGAAATACACTGCTGAGGGGAGCAGTGGGCATAACAGGAGAGGTCTGTTGTGCCATGTGGGTTCCCTCCCTGGCTGGGGATCAAACTCAGGCCTTAGAGGAGATAGCACTGCAACTTAACCTATAGGCTATCAGGGAGACAAATGGTTTTCATTTTTATTAAAAAAAGTTTATTTATATTAAAAATTTTTTTTATTTATGCACGTAAGACGGGGGTATAGGCCAGAGGTGTGTGGGTGGTGGTGGTGGTGAAAGGATTCAGCAGAGTGGGGAACAGAACAGATTGACTGAAATATACTGCTGAGGGGAGCAGTGGGCTAGACAGGAGAGGTCTGCTTTACACTGTGGGCCAGAGTTTTTCTTTTTAAAAGATTTATTTATTTATGCTTACAAGATCTGGGATACAGGCTAGAAGTTTGGGGGGGGATAGCTTGGGGGGCGGGCTAAGAGGATTCACCAGAAAGAGTAGGGTGCAGAATAGGAGAATAGGCAGGTCAGGAGAGGTCTGCCATGCCATGTGGATCCCCTCCGTGGCCAGAGATCAAACTCTGCAACAGTGACTGTGGAGAGATTCATGGTGCTGCGTTTTAACCCCTTGCACCACCAAGGAGGCCCAGGTTTCATTTTTAAAGAGAACTTAAGAACTTCATTTTTAAAGGGACACATCAAGAAAGTTCTCAACAGAATATTGGGAAGAGATTATTAAAAAGCCATGAGTCGGACCCTCCCTGGTGGTGCAGTGGGTTAAAGCACTGCACTAAGAAGCTTAAGCCACTTCCGCATGACTTTCATTCCTGACTGGCCAGAGGAGTCCACACAGCTAGGCAGACCTCTCCTGACCTGCCCGCTGCTCCCCTTAGCAGTGCACTTCGTTGATCTGCCTGTTCTGCTCCTCACTCTATCTATGGTGAATCCTCTCAGCCTCCGCATCTCTGGCCTGTACCCCAGTTCTGTATGAATAAATAAATAAATCTTTAAAAAAAAAAAAAAGCCATGAGTCTTTCTGAATTGAATAAAGCCATAGAAGTTTTTCAGGAGTCAGATTACAAATGGTTCAAATTTTATGCATATGGCTATTCACTGATTTATAAAGAGCATGTCAAGATGATTAGGGAATGACACTATGATATAAGTTACATGACTGTTGTTTATGAACAGAATGAAGTTAGAGAAGTGAACCTAAAAATAGACCTTAAGATGCCTGTGAAATAGAGCTACAGGAAAAAAAATTAATTCTCTCTATCTAGCTTATTCACTATCCTTCACAATCTTAAAAAAGAAAAAAAACTATCATGCCTGTACTGTGTTTTCTCTCACCTGACAAAAAGTTTCTTTAATAAATATAAAAATAGAAGATGTTATTGGAATAACCTGCAATTTGCATCACAGTATAAAATTATGGTGAATGTTTTTCTTTAGGCTCCTTGGAGAAATGTCTGATTTTAGAGACAGAACAGGATTATGTAATCTGAACTTGGAATGTCTTGCAAGAACACTAGGAAGGAAGCTATCAATAACAATGGGGTCATGACAAAAGAATTCAGAGAAAGCTTGAGGGGTTCCACTGGTCAAAGATGGGATGATTAGAACACTTCAAATCTAATTTAAAAAACAAAACAAAACAAAAAAACCTACTTAGTAAGCACTGAAAAACAAATCATGTAAAAAAGCCATGAGATAAAAATGATACAAAATTAAAAAAAAAAAAATTGAACAAACTGAAAAATGTTGGTGAACTTAACTCGTATTCTGTATTTATTTGATGGGGATTAAGAATAAAGGTGAATAAAAAAATGTACAAAATGATGTAAAAATAAACTTTTGTAAAATAAAAAAAAGAAATATTAAAAAAAAGAATAAAAGTGAATAAAGCTAAGCATTTATTCTGACTTTCCCGCATGAACTATGCCTGAGAGCAAGCTATCGCTAAGGACAAGATTTCTTTTTTCCCCCCATTGAAGACTGGCCAGGGATCCAACTTGTGCTGGGGATGGATGGGGTGCATGTGAGGGTGGGAGGATTCACCAGAGACAGGGTGGGAAGTATAACAGGCAGATGTACTGAAATACACTGCTGAGGGGAATAGCAGCAGGAGAGACAAGTGAGGTCTGCTGTGACATATGTGGGTCAGCTTCTTGGATGGGCATTGAATCCTTGATGATGCAGTGATAGCATGGACACTTAACCCCTAGACCACCAACGAGGCCCAAAACAAGATTTCTTTTTAAAAGTACTAACAAATGGGGCCCTCCGTGGTGGCCCACCTGGTAAATGTGCAGTACTATGAAGTTATCTGCAGCATGAGTTGGATCCCTGGCTAGGAAGCTGACCCCACTCTGAATCTATGGCTTATACCCCAGTTCTTATAAGCATAAATGAATAAATCTTTAAGAAAAGATAGGGAAGTCACATCAAGTCAATATAATGTATGTCCTTTTTTGGAAATTGATTTAAACCAAATGTTAGAAACTGAGAAATTCGAACACTAATTGGCCTTAAGGCATTCTTTGGTTTTTTAGTTTTCACTATTGTGGTTATAAAGAGCTGTACTTTTTGTACATTCACATGAATGAATCAATAGATGATATTAACTTCTGCAACTTGTTTTCAACACATTTGAAGGGACATGTCTGCATAAGATTATAAATGAAGTAAGAATAGCTACATATTGCAATTTTTAATAGTGGGAACAGTTGAGGAAATTTGCGTCCATTATGTAAACCACTTTGTACATCTTTTTTTCTTATTTTTTTAAGATTTATTTTTTTATTTAGACATACAGAAATGGGGTACAGGCCAGAGGAGCAGGGGTGGTGAGAGGATTCACTAGAGACAGAGTAGGGAACAGAACAGGCAGATCAATGAGTGGGGAGCAGCGGATGAATCAGGACAGGTCTGCGGCACCACGTGGATCACCTCCAAGGTTGGGGATCAAACTTGCACTGAAGCAGATGTGGCTAGCTTGCAGTGCTGTGTCCTAACCTGTTGCACCATCAGGGAGGGCCCATTTTGTACATCTTTAAAAATGTCCTTAAGACAAAAAAAAAAAAAAAATCCAACAGCAATCTCTTCAACCTGCAATCTGTTCATCTCCTTTATAGCCAAACACAGGGATTTCTCTCATCTCTCTATAAAACAATCACATTCATTCTTCCCACCACTCTACTAAATGTGCTCTATCAGAACATTCAATAGCCTTCAAATCTAGTGGTGAAATTTCCATTTTTGTCTCACTCAAAAGGAGCAGCATTTGACATGGAGGATCACTCCCACGCCTTAAATACTACACTCTGTGGTTTTACTCCCGCCTCACCAGACCTGTAAGTCTCTCTTGCAGGGTCTTCCTCATCTCTGAAGCCTCTACAAATTGTGAAATCCAGGATTTATCCTTGGTAAAATTTCTTTTCTTATCTCCATCAAATGTTTCTGTGTGATCTTATTCACTCTCATTGCTTTAAATACTGTTTTTTTTTCTTCAGACCAATATCATCGGGGTAAACCTTGACACTTCTTGTTATCTTATATTTCAGATTTGATTTATTAGAAATCCTGTTGATCTTCAAAACAAAACCAGAATCAGACATTTCTTTTGTCTTTATTAGTCAGTCTGGGCCCCACCACCTCTCTTCTGAATTGATAGAGAAGCCTCTTTATGATCATCCTACATTTCTATTCTCTGCCCCATTTTAGTTTCAACCAAGTAATGAGGAGAGCTTTGAGCCAGGACATTGTTCTCTATTTTGAAATCTATAATTTAATAACAGAGGCCAAAATCTTTACAACAATTTACAATGCCAGAGATGAGTCACTCACACACACCTCTTAACTCTCTGATCTCATTTCCTACTGTTCTCATTTCACACTTTGCTGTAGCCACACCGGACTCCTTGTTCACATCAAGTATGCAAGGTAAATTCCTGTCTCTTGCCCTTTCCACTTATCATTTCCTCTGCCTGGGACATGCTTTCTCCAAAGAAAATCACCGTTGACTCTCATTTCTTTTAGTACTTTACACAAGTGCTATTATGAATGAATCTTACGCTGACAACCTTATTTAAATAAATTTTCTGGGTAGTATTGCCCCTCTTTTTCACTACCTTTCCAATACCTAGAAAAGTTCATAATGATGTCCTATATTATCTGCTGGAGAGATTACTTAAATGGATGCTAAAATGATCAAAGATTTCTATGAATTGATATCTTCATCCATGCCAGAAAGAGAGGGAGACTTCAAAAAAAATTAGGAATACATAATTAGAACAGGTTAAAAAAAATTACCAAAGAATACTTATGAGTCACTTTGTTGGCTGACACTTAGTCTTGGCAAATATATTCAGTGTCAGGCTATATTAAAAACAAAAATGGTTTGAGAACATTAGTTAACTGATATCTGAGGTTTTCCTTTTCTTTTTTTTGGTTTAAAGATTTATTTATATAAGAACTGGGGCACAGGGTATAGGCCAGAGGTATACAGGGGTGAGAGGATTCATCAAAGACAGTGTGAGGAGCAGAACAGACAGATCTACTGATATATACTACCGAGGGGAGAAGAGGTTGGGTCAGAAGTCTGCCATGCCATGTGGGTCACTTCCCTGCCCAGGGATCACACTCATGCTGCTGTGGCTGCAGATTGCTTCATAGTGCTGTGCTTGAACATGTTGCACCACCAAGGAGGGCCCCTAAAGTTTTCCTTTCCAAAGTGGCCCATCCTGTTAGGGTAGTTGCCATGTTTTGCACCCCCAGTAAAGCAGCCACCTTGGACTATAGGCCCTTGTGTGTTCTGGGAAATGAGGGGCAGAACCAAGCTCCAGGTGAAGCTATGAAACACTGAAGGCAGGTGAGCTCCACAAAAAATGGGGAAGGGCACTTGCTTTTCTAGCTTTGACTTGCATGCAGGGACTTGGGAGACATGGAAGACACATGGAGGAGAAACATGGAGAAACAGTCGAGAGACACATGGGTAAGACACCCCTGGGGCAGAGGGCAGCGGCAGCCACTATGCTGATTTGTTTTTGATTTTGCCCTTTTTGGCCCAGACTTAGCTGGTCCCTTTTGTCTCGATCTTGGGTATCTCCTATCAGAAACTGCCTTAGACTTGTGGCCAGCTTTTGGTTCTCAGTGGTCCTGCTTCAGGTCAATCTTGTTGGTCAACAGGATGGATGGGTGATTTTGGATGATTTACTGGGGGAAACTATTCCCTATTCTCTCTGTGTGCAAACTAACTCTACCTAAGATCTATCATACAAAGGGTAATCTTTCCTAATATGTTTTCTACATATTTTATACACTGGATGGCAGAGTCATATTTTGTTTGGGGTTCCTGGATATCCCTGGTTACTTGCTAACAATCCCAGAGCACGTAAATTAATAGTAAAGATAAAGGAGAGGAAAATAAGTTATAAAAGTCCAATTCCTTCTGCCAATGAATTTGTGCATATAAAAATAAAATGAGAGGATTCAAAGGACTCACCTAACAATGGTAGCAAAGAAGTCTTACTGTTGTTTGTGGTGGAGTTATTCTTCCGCTTGATTCGAGGGATGAATTTCTTTTCCACAGCCCTTATCTTGTGCGCAAGAACCTCTGTCATCATTGCTGCTCGCTTCTTCCCAGAACGAGGAACTGGCTGAGTGAAACGCTTTCTTCTTTTGCGGCGGGGAGCAAGGACTTCGATGGCCCCAGATTTTATCTTGGCTTCTATTCCTTCCCTTGAGCCAAACTCATCTGTTTCTGAAAGTTTGTAAAGTGGAAGCACATGCAGCTGTTCATCTTGAGGAATAACACCCAGTGCACGGTTATCTTCTCGTGTTAAAGTACAAACCTGAGAGAGATAAAATAACACAGGCAAAATAAAATCTAAGTCCCACATAACCTCTATAGTCATTCCTTTTTTCTTGCTACCATTGTGAAAAAGCTGTATTTGTTATTTTACTTTTTTTTCTTTTAAAGATTTATTTATTTGTGCACACAGAACTAGGGTACAGGCCAGAGGTGCAGGGGTGGTGAGAGGATTCACCAGAGACAGAATGGGGAGCAGAACAGGCCGACAGATGAAGTACATTGCTCTGGGGAGCAGTGGGGGTGGTCAGGAGAGGTCTGCCGCGCCATGTGGGTCACCTCGGGGGCGGGCATTGAAACCATGTTAAAGTGGCTTTAGCTTCTTATTACTGTGCTTTAACCTGCAGCACCAGGGAGGGCCCTCTTTTTTTTATTTATGCCTACAGAGGTATGGGGGTGGTGAGAAGATTCACCAGAGACAGAGCGGGGAGAAGAACAGGTAGATCAGCTGAAATACACTGCTCAAGGGAGCAGTGGGTGAGAGAGGCGAGGTCTGCTGTGCCATGTGGGTCACTTTCTGGGTCGGGGATTGACCTTGCACTGAAGGGCTATGGCTAGCTTGCAGTGCTGGGTCCCAACCCGCTGCGCCATCAAGGAGGGTCAAAAAGAAATAGTTTCTATTAATATGTTTTTCTAGGTAAGAAGCCTACATTTACTTGAAGCACACTCATATCCATTATAAAAGGACTACTGAATAATTTACACTAGAGCTTTATGCACTTTAAATATTCTTTTTTAAAAGATGTGGTACATATATACAATGGAATATTACTCAGCAACCAAAAAAAAGAAACACATGTCTTTTGCAGCAACTTGGATGGAGCTGGAAAAGATCATGCTTAGTGAGATAAGCCAGAAAGAGAAAGAAAAATACTGGATGGTTTCACTCATAGCAGGAGTATAATGGACCAGGCGAGAAAATAACAAAAATAATGAACAACCATATACCAGAGACATGTTGTGGGGGTGGAGTGGGGAATGGGATCAAAAACGGGGGGGGGGGAAGGGAGGGAAATGTATGGGACTATGGTGGTGGCACACGGGTGATTTGGTGATGGGAAACCCGCGGGGATTACAATCGAGATGGAAAAACAAATGTGCAAAATGATGTAAAAATAAACTTTTGTAATAATTAAAAAAAATAAAATTAAAAAAAGTCACAAAAAATATTCTTTTTTAAAAATATGAACCTATTATTTATTTCATTTTATTTTTAGTGTAGAAGAACTGGGGTGCAAGCCAGAGGTGAGTGTGTGTGTGTGTGTGTGTGTGTGAAGATTGATCAGAGAGAGTAGAGAGCAGCAGACAAGACAGGAGAGGTGTGCTGAGCCATGTGGGTCACCTCACTGTTGTAGGATGGAACTCAGGCCAGAATGCTGTTAGAGTGAGAGTTAATCCTAGACCACCAGGGAGGCCCCTACTTTAAGAATTTTTGGGCCCTCCCTGGTGGTGCAGTGGGTTAAACCCTGCCCGCCCTGAGAAGTGATTCACATGGCACAGGAGACCTCTCCTGACCCTTCCGCTGCTCCCCACTCTGTCTCTGGTGAATGAATCCATTTACTGCCCCTGTACCCCAGTTCTGCATGTACAAATAAATAAATCTTATATATAAAAAAAGAATTCTTGATAGATGATCTCAAGCTGAGGAGTATGATTCTTTTCATGGATGTAAGCTTAATATGCCTGATGCAAATATTTCTCATACTATAACTTAACACAAACTGTACTTAAAGCTAATACACATAAGAAGGATGATATATTTGGCATAGTTCCCTCACAAGATCCTGAGGAAAGAATGTGAAACAGAAACATTAAGGGGGCCTCCCTGGTGGTGCAGGGGTTAAGACTCAGCACTATCAAACCATTGCCAGCCACTGTGGCATGAGTTTGATCCCTGATCAAGGAGTTGACCCATAGGGCACAGCAGACCACTCCTGTCTCATCCACTGCTCCCCTCAGCCATGAATCTCAGTAGATCTGCCTGTTCTGCTCCCCACTCTGTCTCTGGTGATTCCTCTCATACCCTGCACCTCTGGCCTATACCCCAGTTCTTTATGCATAAATAATTAAGAAAAAAAAACATTAAGGAACTTGTTTACCTACCACCCACAAGTCTGATAGCACAGAATTATTGTTTTCAATAATCATATACTCTTCTTTCCTCCCAGCAAATGTAACAAAAATACATTTAAATATGTATACAACATGGCCAACAAGCATATGAAAAGATGTTCAGCATCGCTTGTAATAAGGGAGATGCAAATTAAAACCACAATGAGATACCATCTCACCCCAGTGAGAATGGCACATCTTGAAGCAACTAGCAACAACAAATGTTGGCAAGGATGTGGAGAAACAGGAACTCTCCTGCACTGCTGGTGGGAATGCAAACTAGTACAACCACTATGGAAAACTGTTTGGAGGTTCCTCAAACTGCTTAATATGGAGCTTCCCTATGACCCAGGAATCCCACTCCTAGGTATCTACTCAAAAGGCACAAAAACACTGATTCAAAAAGATACCTGCACCCCCATATTTATTGCTGCTTTATTTACAATTGGAAAGACATGGAAACAGCCCAAATGCCCCAAAGTGGATGACTGGATCAAAAAGATGTGGTACATATACACAATGGAATATTACTCAGCAACCAAAACCAAAACCAAAACCAAAACAAAAACACATGCCTTTTGCAGCAACATGGATGGAACTGGAAAAGATCATACTTAGTGCAATAAGCCAAAAAGAAAAGGAAAAATATCAGATGGTTTACTCATAACAGGCATATAACGGACCAGGCGAGAAAATAATAATAATAATGAACAGCTATATACCAGAGACATTTTATGGGGTTGGAGCGGGGAATGGGATCAAAAACAATGGGGGAGGGAAATTCACGGGACTATGGTGATGGCAAATGGGTAATTTGGTGATGGGAAGCCTAAGGGGATTACAGCTGAGATGGAAAAATGTGCAAAATGATATAAAAATAAACTTATTATTATAAAAAAAAAAGATGTATACAATTGGAGACTTTCAAAACTATGTTTTGAAAATTGTTAAGGTTGGCTCTACAAATTTTTGCAAGTACTTTGACAATAAACCTAATTAAATTCCACCAGTATATACATTTATGTGGAAAAGAACATAAATTTGCTACAACAATCACATCTAAGGACCCCAGCCTATGCAACAGTGGTGGAGTTTCTCATATTGAAATTCACACACATACATACCACAGTGCTTCCATTATTCATGTTGTGAATGTCCCTGTGAGGATGAGCACAGAAGTCTAGACAAGCAGTCACCCCAGAGAAAGGACGACCTTCTTTGCTACCAAGCCGACATTCTCGGGCAACATGTTCATATTCCACCTTAAAAGGAAAGTATGATACATACATTTAAGAAACTGTGAAAATCACTTCCTAACAATGTTGTGAAAGTAACGACATTTTGTAATTTTTAGTATTACTGACACTATACTGTATTATTGTAGCCCAAGTGTAGTTTAGAAACATTGAGAATACAGAGATGTACAAATTAGAAATGCACTAACCCCATCACATCTACCTGCTTGGGCTCTTAAGTTCCAATAAGCCATGAACCTTTCTTTTCTTTTCTTTTCTTTTTTAATAAGATTTATTTACTTATGTGTACAAGAACAGGGTACAGGCAAGAGGTGTGGGGAGCAGCGGGAGACTCCTGTTGCAGTGGCTGGTGATGGCTGGATAGCACTGTCTTTATCCCTTGCGCCTCCAGGGAGGCCCTGAACCTAACTTTATGAGCTGGGAGAAGCTGTTGGTAACTGGTGGCAAAGCTGAACACCATACGTAACACTCAAGCTTGTGTGTCCTGACTTGTACCTGCAAACTGTTGGGAAGATTAAGGGGTGACACATAGAGAGACTTAGGGGACATATGAGGTGGCAGACACTGTCTAAAGGGCGGAGTCAATGGCACCTGTTACCTTGATGTAGCATCCCTTTCCGCCCCAGCTGCAGGATCCACTTACTGCCTTTGTTGCTAGAAGCCACCTTACACTTGTGGGAACCTTTCAGGCCACAGCAGCCTTGCTTCTGGCTAGGCTTGCTTGGCTGGGCATTTGCCCTTAAGGGGATAATTGGGGATTTTATTGGAAACAATTATGACTATCCTATCTTCTCTCTGCATGCATATTAATTCTATTAAAGATCTTCACACTAACAGTATGCTTCTTTTGCCTTTATGCAGCAGAAACTAGCTTCTTTTAAGGCATATATTCCGTAACAGTTTGGGGACCCTAGGTGCCCCTTAGACATACACTTATAAGAATGCATAGAACAAAATGACAACCAGTGACTATGACCAAAGAGAATTCATGCTAGGTGGACTAGCAAGTATAGTAGCCTAAATGATACCATCATAAAGAAGGATGTAGTGTATAAATGACTTAAGAAATTAGAATTTCTATAAAAGGTATATATCCAGGAACAAATATACAAAGTCAATTTACAACTTTTTTTTTAATGATATATTTATTTATGCATACAGAACTGGGATACAGGTCAGAGGTGTAGGGGCAGTGAGAGGATGTACCAGAGACAGAGTGGGGAGCAGAACAGGCAGATAGATGAAGCACACTGCTGAGGGGAGCAGCGGGTGGGTCAGGAGAGGTCTGCTACGCCATGTGATCACCTCCCTGGCCAGGGATCAAACTCGTGAAGTGGCTACAGCTAGCTTCATAGCACAGCAATGAGCCACAGCCACCTCAATGTGAGTTTGATCCCCCGCCCTGGAGGTTTTCCACATGGTGCAGCAGACCCCTCCTGTCTCACCTGCTGCTCCCCTCAGGTGAATTCTCTTACCGCCTCTGTGCCTCTGTCCTGTACCCCAGTTCTGTATGAATAAATGAATAAATCTTTAAAAAAATGATATACTGGGGTTTAACAGTGTTATTCATAATATAAGTGTATTTGTTTTCTTTTAAAAATTCCAAGTTTCATTGAAATATATTATATCTAAGTTTAAGACATGCAGTGTGATGGCTGGATACATGTATGTATTACAAAATGGTTAACAAAATGGTGATGATGTAGTCACACTGTCTATTATACCCCAGAGCTTATTTATCTTATAGCTGGGAGTTTCTGCCACACCTCTCCATTTACTATACCCATATTTATTTTCTTGATATCTTTGAAAGACAAATGTAAAAGCTTTCCATGGTGGATTATTTTCTTAATTTTATTTTTGGATGGTCTATTGCTAGTGTTTGAAAATCAGTGGTTTTTGCATATTGATCTCATACACTGAACTCACTTATTTGCTCTAAACAGTGTTTTTCTTGGTATTTTCTACACATAGGAATATACAGCTGACTAGCAGAGACCAATTTTATCTCTTACTTTTCCTTCTAGATTCCTTTGTCTTGTGTTAGTTGTCCTAAATAAAACCTTCAGTAAAATGTTTAATAGAAATGGCAAGAGCAGAGACTCCTGGGCCTCCCTGGTAGTGCAGGGGTTAAAAACAGTGCTATCAAGCTATCAACAGCCACTGCAACACAGTTCAATCCCTGGCCTGCCAGGGAGCTGACCCACATGGTGCAGCAGACCTCGCCTGCCTCCCTGGATGCTCCCCCAAGCAGTGTATTTCAGGATATCTGTCTGTTTTGCTTCCCACTCTGTCTCTGGTGAATCCTCTTTGGGCTATACTCCAGCTCTTGTATGCATAAATAAATAAATCTTAAAAAAAATAAAATAAAATAGACATTCCTACCTGGTTCTAGGTATTAGACAAAAAGCATCTAGTCTTTATCAGGGTGAGGCAGCTCCCTTTTATGGCTAGTTTGTTGCATGGTTTTAAGATGTAATAAAGTGTTGGATTTTGTTAATGCCCTTTTAGCATCTGTAGAGCTATTACGTGGTTTTTCCCTTGTTCTATTAACATAGTGCATTATATTAATACTAGTCATCCATTCCTGCTTTTAAAATGTTCTTTTCAGACACAACCATAATTCTATCACTCTGGAATTTCAATTGTTCTAATGGGAAGGTTTTTTAAAAAGGTTATTTTTAAAACTGCCTGGATAGGGCCTCCCTGGTGGCACAAGGGGTTAAGTCTGAGCACTGTCAGACTACTGGTCAGCCACCACAGCACAAATTCAATCCCCTGTCAGGAAGCTGACCCACATGGCCAGGTCAGGATCTCTCCTGTCTCATCAACTGTTCCCTTCAGCAATATATTTCAGTAGACCCACTTAATTCTCCTCCCTACTCTGTGGTGAACCCTCTCATTCCTCCCCTCCACACATGCACCCTGTACCTCTGGCCTACCAACCAGCTATTGTATGCACAAGTAAATAATTAAACAAAACATCTGGGTCATATATTTAAACATACCTGATTTTGGTAAGCAACTGGAGCATACTGCTTATAAATTGGAGCCAATTGTGTAGCCAAACTCTGTAAATTATCTTCAAGGTTTTTTTCCTAAGGAAAAGACAGTCCATAAAAGTTGCCTCATAATGACATGTAGGATGAGTTTAAGGCATGATTCTGAATCAAAGCACTGCTGATATGTGGTTAATACACAAGCTATACTTACTGTGATAGAAAGCACTTCCACTGAAAATAACATAAATTATTATTTTAAAAACCTAAACTACTAGTCATTGTTATATGTTAAGTCAGTCTTTTGAAATGAAAATTGTTATAGTCTAACTATATGTGGTTATTAGTAGTAACTTGCAAAACTGCTCTTTTTGCTCAAAGTGAGAACCTTGTTTTTACATTTATTCAGTAGCATGGGCACTAAACGGAAATCAAGACGTCAAAGTAAAGAAATGTGACATAGTATGAAAAGATTCTACAACAGAGATATATGTACCAGACATCAGGTAACAGGTCCTTTAGTAAAGTTTCAAACATATAGTGGATAATTGGTTGTCAAAAACGAGTATTTTCTTTTCTATGCCATAGTAGATAGAAATTGAAGATGTGGTAGGACTGTGAGGAGCATTAATACCATATCAAGAATTGCGATTGTCATATAGTAGAAACATACAAGACTTTCTCAAAGAAACATCATCACGACAATAGTTAATTAAACACCATAGGTGACAGTGTGCAGTAGGAAGCAAAGAAGGAAGACTTTGGAAATCAGAGCTGAAAACCACGGTAGTTTTTTAGAGGTGATATACTAAATCAAGTTAGAGACTTGATAAATGATCAGTCACTTTTGACATAGCCAAGGAAGACAACTGAATGGGAATCAGAGCAAAGCTAAAAAGGAAGGATTTAAGAAGGGTTGAGTCTTCTTCCCCATTTGAGATATGGGGAATAGAGATACTATGAACACTGAAAGAAAGTGCTTATGTGGATCAGTTCATCTCTGGGGTACATCAGACTACTACAGGCACTGTAATTTAATAGTGAGTGTTTTTAACAAGTTTTAACTGTGACAACTAAAAAGCATCAAATATAGCACTTTTGGTTGCTTATTGCTTTATGCCAATGCTTTTAGTGAATAAGAAATTTATGTATACTATGTATAGGGTCTATATTTAGATTACTGTGTTCCATTCATCTGTCTAATTTGTGTTACATAATGTGGTTCTTAACTATTGCCGGGAAAATCAGCACCCTACTTTAACAACATTTCCTGGCTATACTCACATATTAAGTATTCTATCTATTTGGATAAAGCCTTAGATTTAAATACCTATTTAAAAGATTTGATTAAGTTTTTAACACTTAAAATAATTGGAAGAGTGGGTATATATATTTTACTGTTTGTTAGTAGAATATTATGAACCACCAAGGGTCACAAATCAGACAGTAATTTGTCATCTCATGAACTACCTCATGAACTGTGATAAAATGTTGAAATGAAGCAGACAAAAGGAAACTAAGTTTATATAACTGACTATAGGTATAATTTCATAAAATAAAATTTTGTTATTGTATTTCCAGTTGTTTCATTAGAATGAATGAATGCTTATCAAATACAGAAATTTCTTCTTCTAAGCTCTTTATCTATGGACTTAAGCCATCATTCTTCATTCTCCACTATCTCCATTCTCCAGCATATCTACATTCATGGCATAAATAGCATGTGGCCCACGTAGCACCACTTGAGTTCCAGATTCTAATTATTATTGCCCTGAAAACCCCTTGGATTTCCCTTAGAAATCTCCAGCCCAATGTAAAGTAAATGCACAATCTGTCCTTTATAGTGATGGTCCCACAGGGTACCTTACGTCAAGGTATAACATCATTATATTCTAAGTAAAAAAATCTTTCCAGACCAAACATTACTCACTATTTCCCCGTCACAATTATATTCTAAGTCATTACTATTCCTACCCCAGATTATTCTCATAGCCAGCTCATTTTGTTAAATGCACTCTTAGCCAACTCCAATTCAATATTCAAAGAGCAGCCAGAGAGGTTCTTTAAGAAGTAAGTGTAATTATGGTTACTCTCGTTCGTAAAATCCTTCCATGATTTTCCAAAATTCTTGACAGGGCATCATAAGGTTTCTGTATACACCTTACTTTCCCTTGCCTGCTGAGCTTCATACTGTCCACACTGTCCACTGCTGGAATGAACACTGCTTCTTCCTATATTATAAGCACTATAAATGTTATTCATTATAAATATTAACCTTAAGCAAAAACTATTGTCCCATTTGTTACTTATATTAACAGTATTACTGTTACAGAATAAGATTTTAATTGTCATGTAAATGTTAAAAAAAATATATATTTATTTCAAGAGACAGCTTCATCATGTAACATTTAAAAAGAAAACTTAACTAGTTACTATAAGAAAAAACTGACATCACATTATCACATGTTCTGATCTTTGAACATGAACCTTTCCATGGTCTGGTAGTTCATATGCTCTTTACTAAGTTTTATAGATGTTTCTCTAAAGGTCCACTATATTTCTTGTTAGCTTATATCTATAGTATTTTACCTGCAAATGTAGCTTCTTTAATTATTTCTGTATGTTATTGCAGTAGCTGGGAATTCTAGAAAATCCTAACTAATTTTGATGATCTCCTGATAGGGATCATTATTAATTCTGAGCTTCCCCAAGGTATTATATTCATTTACAGATAAAGTTAATTAACTACTATTGTTTATTTTTCATTTCTATTTATGATTATCCTAATGACTTTTTAAACTTCCTTTGTGAATTTATGCATGGGTTGTTTTCTTTAAAATTTTTTCCTCACAACTAATTCAAAAGTTTTTAGTTTGTTAACCTAAAAGAAGTTTCAAACATACCCTTAATTAAATATGTTTACTGAAAATATCTAGATGAGTGTTTTCCAAGCTGTGGGTCATGACTCATTAGTGGGCCATGGAATCAATTGAACAGGTTATTATTAACAATTAAAAAAAATTGTATAAAAAATATACAGCATCACAAAGATTCTTTACAATAACTATACTGAATAATAATTAACTTTAAAATATTATCTTATTACATATATATGGCTAAGTACCACTTTTCAATGGTTTTATTTTAATTACTTCACTTGTATAAATGTAGTCATATAGTGGTTGGTAACATAAAATGCTTTTTATTCTTCGTCACAACTCAAAGTTTGAAAAACACTGATCTTAGAGTTAATCAGTTTCTACACCTCCCCATTCCAAACAAAGCATAAAACCACCACCACACTTAGTTCCTAAAGGTGCCCCACCCCCTCCCACTACCTACCCACCCCTAAGTGGTTAAGAGTATGGAACTATAGGTTGTTATTTTAATTAAAAGTGTTAAGTACTCAACTTATTTAAACTTAACAGTAAGGTTGACTAATTTCTTTGCTCACCATGGCCTCTTGTCCCGGACAGACTCGTTCCGGTTTCATATATCTTCTTTCTGGAATACGTCCTTTAGTAATTCTCTCATAGTAGCTCTGTGGGTAGTAAACTTTCTGAGTCTTTGAAATGTTGGCAAATGGATTTATTTATTCTTCCTACTTTGACTGGGTATAAAATTCTAGGTTCTTTTAATAAAGATTCTCTCCAGGGAAAGGGAGAAGGAGAAGGAAGTTGGGGACAATTGAAATTTGGGTTGGTAGCTGAAAACTTTACCTAACTTATTTAGAATTTGAAACTATTTACTTACACATATGTATTTTTTCTCTCTTAATGCTGTTGCATAATTAATTTTTTTTACTATTTATAAAATCGAAAGGGATGAACTTGCATATTCATAGTGTAATCAGAAAATAAAAAGGCACTTACATGTAAGGGAGAGCTCGGATCAATTCTAAATCTTCTAGGGCTTGGACTTCTACCAAACTTGCAGCCATTGAAATACATACTCCATGAACAGCCAAAAGAGAATGAAGCACCACAAGTTTCTGGATCAATCCCTTGACATGTGCAGGTACGACTGTCAGATGGTAACAGCAAAGGAATGAAGCAATAACTTAGCAGGAAAATATCTCAAACACAACATTACAAATTCATGTAGCTTTAGAAGTACAGATGGCAAAAAAGTTGATTTTAACCTCTTTTTTATTCACTATTTTATTTAAAATATTGTTAAGATAACACAAAAATAAGTGTATTGGAATACAACTGAACTTTTCACTAAAGTCTTTAAACATATAAATGTAAATAAATGGCAGCAAACAATACATATCTGGAATATCTATAATCTTTTTTTTTCTATTAGAAGTTTAAGGGAAATAAAGAAGGTCGTTAGGTCCTTCAAAGGTAAAATGACATTAGCTTAATCCTCTAAGGATTAATAAAGGGTAATAGATATTGTAGATGAAATAGCTTTGTCAATTATCTGTATGTATGATATGTCTGTATGTATGATATGTATAAATGTAAATGTAATGCTAACAATTATGGAACACAGACGAGGGGAATATAAGTGGATACTAAAGTATGTCTGCATCATTTATGTAAATACAAATATTTAAAGAAAAGATGTGAGATGCACATTTGGTGAAATAATTACTTTGAATTGTTTCTGAACAACAAGACATACTTGTCTTCATGACAAGTATGTTATAGTGCATCAAGACAATAAATTAGCAGACATTAAAAATAAGGTATACATATATATTTGTTAGCACAGGGAAAATGTAATGAAATTAAGAGTTTTAAGGATAAGGAATGTTTTAGGGATTAGATAAGGAATCTTGTGTGGGGATTAGAGTGGATAATCTATATTTTTACTTATATCTTATATAATAAGAGATCTATCTACAAAACACTTTTGATGTGTACAAAAGCAACCTGAACAAATGAAAAGAAAAATCAGTTTAAGGAAGAGAAAGACTATCATAAAGATGTCATGTTTTTAAAGGCAGCATTTCAATCAAAGTCTATAAACATACATTTTAATAATTAAAATTGGGATATGTGGGGATATAAGGATGAAAATGGATCTATTCCTAGCACTGTTAACCAGCAGTTCAATTTAAATATCAGAGATTTATATTTTAAAATATAATTGGAATAAACAAAAAGCAGGTAAATTATGCTAAAAGTAATAAGAAAAGTATTGTAATGACAATATTCAGACAAATTTAAGGGAAAATATAGATAAAAATTACATTAAAAAAGAAACTTTTGCCAAAGGGTTAATAGTCCCACTATGTCATAGCAATCCCATTTATGAATGGGGTAGAATGGAACTCACATTTGAAAAACAACAAAAAGAATAAAAATAAAAAGTGACTAGAAGTAGTAAATAGTTCCTAACCCAATGAAAATATGCTTGTAATATGAAAAATACAAATCAAAAATGCAAATTAACCTGATGTCATTTACCACCTATTAAAAGGGCAAAGACTCAGTCTGACAACATAAGGACTAGCAAGGCTGTAGGGAATTGATTTTCTCGTTCACTGTTAAGGGAGGACGAGTTTTTGCCTTTTTGAAAAATCCCTCTCCCTCCAAATTGCAGGAGTGCGTGCTGTCGGGTCTTCAGAGGGAAGAAAAAAATTTCAAGTGACTATCCTAAGGCAGCCTAACATACTGTTATGCTTTCTTTAAAGAAATGTTCGTTTTACTTCCACAATGCCTAAACTCCTGTTCTCCCCTACAATATACTTAGTTTGTGGTTAATTAAGAAATGAATGTAACATAAGAGTGGTCTGAAAGCAGTTCCCAAAACTCATTTGATTACTTTTCATTCAGAGTGCATCTGCGGTCGGTGGGGTGGCCATTGTAAGACTTGAGGTTTTCGGTGAGCTCCGTGTACAGTTTGTCCGCCATCGGGAGCGGGATGCCATCCCACACCATGATGAGTACCACCATCACCGCTGTCGGACAGTGGTGGCCTGTGCGCTGACGGACCAAACAAAGGACTTTCTCTTCATCGCTGCTTCTTCGTAAAACCTATAAAACCACAGTGCAATCATTTATGTAAAACAAAAATCCTAAAGTCAAATGCAATGGGTCTTCTTCCTTTACAACTGTGTATATTTTGTATACTTAGATGTGACACACATATGTGTTACACACATACATGTATACATTATTATTATTTTTTAAAAAGTTGAAGGCTATATTACCTTTAGCTGTCAGACTAACTGCTTCCACAGAACTCAACAAATCATATGCCAGGTTACTGGAATAACAAACAGGTAGAATGGTAATCTTCGGTGTGTGGTTGTTACATAAAGCAGAGCAAAGCAATCTGTGTTTCACTTCACTGGTGACAGAATTGCAAACAGGTAACAGAGGATCTGGGCGGAGACCTCTGCTCTTCCCCACACTGCACAACAGGACAAATCTGCCTACATGGAAATAAGCGTGGACTCCTCCCAACATTAAAAATAAATGCGAGGGCCCTCCCTGGTGGTGCAGCGAGTTAAAGCACAGCACTAAGAAGCTAAAGGCACTTCCACATGAGTTCGATTCCCACCTGCCCCGGAGGTGACCACATGGCGTGGCAGACCTCTCCTG